GGAGCCCCACCAGGAGACATTCCAAATCACCGAACCCCCATTAGCTAAGCAGTGCGCTGCTGCTGCCTGCCCATCCAGCCACTTTGATGTAATTGGGCTTTTTGTTCTCTGTAAATATATACATTTATATCAATTTATGTCCAAGTCTCAGGATGGGGGATTTTTTTTCTCCCCTTTGTCCACCAGACAAGGCTCACAGCATTCTGGAACGCACAGCTGAAAAAAAGATAGCTGAAGTGTCCAGAGGCAAATGTTGAGCATGTGAGGTCAGTGTTCCCTGCCACGCCACACGCTGGTCAAAGCAAACACACCGCAGGCAGGAGACGCCGCAGGGCAGGCAGCTCTCTAGATGGCATCTGCTGGCCTTTAAGAAACGGTACTGTGAACAGCCAGATGTAGAAAATTCAGTCCTTTTTAAAATTCCTAAGTCAAGAACTGTACTGTTCTTGTTAGAGCCCCAAACCATCACTCTGCAAGCACTGGTGTTTTGATGGGATTATAAAAGAGCAAAAGGAATCTGATCTCCAAACTTAGAAAGTCCTTGGCCTCTCCGGGGAAGCTATTTGAAATGGAGGTTTTTACAGTGTAAACATCTGTCAGTGACCCACCACAGCAGCGGCTTCCCCTGCGCATTCCATACCCAGCATTACACAACTGTTAAGGCACACAAAGTAAGCACAAGGCTCAAGACAGTAAGAGAAAACATAGGTTATTCTGTTTTGTTGTCATCAACAGCGATAGACATGGACTAGTCAAAGGGCTTGAGTTAATATCTAAATTGTTACATTGAAGCTGCCTACGTGAAAGTTTTACTTTCCCCTGAGCTGTGTTTGCACCAGAAGCACTATTTTTTGATATTTTTTTTTTTTCCACCCAAATTCCCAGCCTTAAGCATCTCCCCGCCTCCTCTCAGCCAGCTTCCAAGTGACATCTTAACCAGCCAGCCTACCCTAGGAATGCAGCAGGAATTGCAGCGGTAGCCCAGTTGTCCCCCTTTCCAGGCCAGCATTCCTCCTGCCCAGTTACCCTTCCCTCTGAGATCTCATTACTGCACAAACACAAACCTGTTAATTATCACCTAGGCCAGGGCTCCAGCAATTCAACAAGAGCTTTACAGTTATTGCCTTCTCCTCCTTAAACCAACCAGCCTTTTACAGGGCCACAAAGTTATCAGATAAAGGACCTAAAAAAAAAAACCAAAACAAAACACACCACCAAAAATGGGAAATAAAAGCAGCAAAAAGGTGTGCAGAGTTAAAAAGGATGGGAGAGGAGCGGGAATATTTGTCAGATAGGTTCTGGTATCCACTCACAGGGTTGCTTTCCAAACTGTGACCCTGGCAGCATGGGAACATAATGGGTAGGGGAATCATTCTTTAGGCCCACACTGAATCCTTTCGATGAAGAAACTACAGCAAAATCAACTGCAACGTACTTGAGTTTTGCTGGGTACTACCTAAAATTGTTATCAATTTACTGATGGGCAGTACTGAATACACATTATCCACAATATGCTACTTTAAGCCCCGCCGAAGGCTATTTAGTTTGAAATTGTAGGTTTATACTGAATTTAAGCCCACCTAAGTCCCCTAAAATTTAAGGCCGCTGGAAACTGCACTGATTTAGATCTGTTTTTTTAAGAGATATTTGGTTATGGTGTATTTGTGCAACTTGAAATTACAATGGCAGACACAGCCTTTGAGATTTCCTTACAGCTGAGATCTAAGTGAAGAAATAAGGTTTGTTGAATAAGAAATACTCCCGTGCTTCTGCACTGGATGAATTAGTTTCCACATCACTGAACTCCTGAAAAGCGAAGAGGGAAGAATCGCCACACAAAAACAGGCCTAATGAGGAAGACAGTTACTGCAAGAAAAAAAAAAAGTCCTATTAATCAAAAATCTCTCTATGATCGGCAGTAACAGGAAAGGGAAAAGCACCTCAGTTAGACAGAAAACATTTATATTGGCCAGCAGTCCTCAGTTCCTTCCCAATTCTCAGATTCACAGGATCTGGAAATCAGAATTAGAAATACTGCCAGTATTTCAGGTGTTTTCAGCACATTACAGAATAAAGCATGAGCAAATCGCTTGCCATGGACCATGCATTACTGAGATAATTCCTAGCCACATCATGAATGTGTGCTGCTTTTCGATTTTGGTAAATCAAGTCTCTTAGCCCTTACCCAAGCCTATGCAAGGTCTGAAGAAATTCTGTCCCTTCGCATCACTTCTGTGTCTTTCCTATCGCAAAGTAGGAAGGAATTCAAACTTACTAATGACACCTGTGATTTCAAGTCAAGGATTTCAAGCAAATACGGGCATTCTATCCTTACCCAGCTCCACAGACTAGTGCTTGCTGACACGCCACTGCCATACAATACAACTGGGCGGCAATGGCTTTTTGGCCTCACCTACCCATTGCTTCATTTTGTGGAGCTTATATCACTGATTTGATACCGTCTGAACTGCAGTTTTTGGATTTATCATCTTTTCATCTGGGGTGCGCAGCACATGATTAAGGGACAGAATGAGGTCAGCTGCTTATTACAGGCTAATTGTTACATTCCCTGAACTAGAATACCAGTAACTGAATTTGAGAGTACAAGATCTCTGCAAAACCAGAGATCACATTCTAAAATTGGAGCGCTAATGAAGGCTCATTAATAGGCAAGAAGAATCCCTATAGAATTCTGAAGCTAGTGCTAAATATATCTACCTTATAATCTCAAAGGCACTCGACATGTATGGCATCCTTAAGTTCCTTACTCTGTACAACAATTAGCAAAGCCTATACCCAAGCCATATAACCCCGACACAGCAGGTACTTACAGTGGTATGATTTGCAGGATCTGACTGAACTTTTCACTTTCAATAAGCAGTGAGGACACACTATTTTGACAGCTACCGTAAGGTGTTCTCAGGTGTACCTGGACTTGTTTGCTAAAGCCGCACGTAGCACTCATATTTTCTTTACATCACGCTCATCTTGAGGTAGTTTTAGTTTCCCATCTGTTCTAAAAGGAGAGATTATCAGATTATCTACAAACATGCTACAGAATGGTTTTAGTAAAACAGCGGTTTTCCGATTTCCTGTTCTATGTAAACGTTTCAGAGAAGTGCGCAAGGCCAGTGGTTTCCATCTATGATTAATGACCTGTTTAAAGGAACCATTTGAGAAAAAATGGCTGAGCAGTTCGCAAAATATACATCACATACCTCATGTACTTCTCTTATCAAAATTAAATGCAGCCTTTCTTTAGTTCAATAACATCAAGAACACCATTCTTTCATCCACAATAGATGTTTAGAATACAACTAGAAAGCTAATGAAGCTACCCAACTTTCAGGTGCAGAATACAATCTGATGAATGCTCAAGTGTGAGGAGAAAACAAAGCAGGATTAAAAAAAAATGCTTTGAATTTCCTTGTACATGTATATTTCTTTGTTATGAAAGACATGCAATGAGCTGAAATCTATTCACTGCATCACATGCTAATGGTATATATCGATTCTTCATAAAAGAAGAACAGGATCAGGCCTCTCATACACCAGAATGCAATTAACAAAATGCTTGCTCTAACGGAAATATAGCCATTTGGTGTAGTTGCTTAATGAAAGAGCAGTAACAGCTTCTGCCAATTCAATCACCAAGACAGCAGCACATGCTTTTCCGTTCTTCCCATATAGTCTTCAAATAACCGTAATTCAATTTGGTATTTTGGAAAGTCTAAAGCCCACAAAATTCCAGAGAACAGATACCCAGCTGTTGTCATTTTTTAAATGGATTAACTATTAGACTCCTCCTTTCTAAGATGCAACATACCAAAATATTTCCAAAACAGACTATAATAGAAGTAATCTGCATATTCTTTTTTGTTGTGCATTTTTCTAACTGATATAATGCACACCACAGAGGGAGAGATATTTTACCCTTATCTGCATTATACATCTACAGCTAGGGGGAAGCTTGTTTTCCATGTCATGTATCTCTATCCATCTTCTCTCCAACTGATATTCAAAGCTATTGTCTAGCTTTGTAGAAGGCCGCATGCTACGGCAACTTGTGGTAACAGAGTAAGTATAAAAGGAATTAAATTACCAATATAAAGATAAAAATACATGTTTTAGTAAAGAGTAAGGAAATCAGAACTGGAAGAAAAGTAAAAGCAAGAAGTAATTCCTCCTCCCACACATCAAGCCCACAGAACTGAAACTGTTTCTAGATTACACAAAGCAGCTCAGCCTTGAACTGCTGATGTTGAGAATTTGTACGTGAAGCAATGCAACCTCAAAAGGTGAGGGAAAACGCAAATATTCAAATATTACCTGACAAAAACATGAAGTATATAAACATGGCAAAACCAAGACAATATGTGTATTTGCGTAATTTAACATTTCTACAGCAATGCAAGTGAAGAGGGATGAATTCTTTTTATATAATTTTAAATGTCAGTGCTGTATACAGAATGTGAAGTGCTTTGAGTCACCACTGTAAAACCTTTTAGTAACATACTGAAATAAAACTAAACTGCATTTAAAAATAAATGTTCATGTACAGACTTTAAGGAATTACAGGGTCTAGTAAGGATTGGGGAAATGCCTGTAATTCTCCAACACTGGCTCAATTCTGTATACAGAGAAATCAGTCAGCTACAAAGGTGTCCTCTAAGTCTAAGCTGCCTACTGTACCAAACTCCTCCTTTACAGCACATGTAATGCCTTATAAAAAGACAAATTAATTCAACAAACACAGCAAGAGAAAAGCGCTGATTTCAGGCACACCCAAGCAACTCCTCCAGACTTCAACAGGACCTGAGCCCAAATGGTAGCATACAAACAAGAGAGGAAGACCTTTTCCACAAAGGAGTACAAACCACTATATTTACAAATCAATCAAGCACTCTTAGCCCTGGACAGAATTTAGACATTGTTTTCATCATAAACAACAGGCTTATTACACACTTCAGATTCTAATGCTTTTAGTTTTAGCAGGAATTTTTTGGAATGAAAGTTGCAAATAACCTCCGATACAGCTAGTCTCTTACACTTAATAAATAAGTAGCATCAAGAATCTTCATGGCATTGAGATGCATAGAACTATTAAATGGTTTCAGAGTCTATTTAGGGGGAAAAAAAAAAAAAAAAAAAGTCCTTTGTTACTGCAAAAATCCTAGCTTATGTTCTTCAGAGAAGAATGGCCCTAGTGGTATGTTCAAGTGCCAAAACAAGCAGCAGGATGAGAGGCCGTTACTGCATGCCAAACCACTGTTCTTGATCTGCCCACTGAGCTGCTTCACTGTCACTGCCTTCCAAGTCCCCCTCTTCTCCACTTCCCTCCATATCATCCACATCTTCTTCCTGGGTTGCATCAGTTGGACTTTCTTCTTTTTCCATTTTCTGCATTCCTTCTAGTGACTTCTGATCATTTGGATCCAAACTGAATAAAGTGAAAAAAAGAAAGTATTTTCCTAAAACTTTTTTTCCCCTTATATTTGTGACATTATTTAAAAAAAAAAAAAAGTCTCATTTGTTGTCTGCAGCTTCCTGTTTTAACATCATCAAGTCCAGTTTAGTAGATGATGCAACTTCACTTCAGGCTGACCATAACAGAGTATTAAATCTTTATAGAAAACAACTTTGATCCCCAAGAATGCGCTTCTCTAAACATCACACTATTCCAGTCAATACCAATTATAAAGTAACACGAAAGCAGTAAAAATTTAAATGACTATGACTAAATATATTACATGCCAGGAAAAAACAGCTGACCCATTAATGCTATATAATTTTTATGGTGGACGTAATGTGCTAGATTTCAGGTAAATTTAACTTGTTGAGATTGAAACATGGTAACATGTTATGTTAAATTGCATCACACTATTAAAATTTACTTAACAGCTCACCAACACCTTCTAGTCTAAAGGAATGGATCTTAAGGTGCCTGACTATATAATAACTATAAATACATCCATGCCTTAATCCTTTCATTAATCAAGGAACCGCATCCCCAGTGACATGCTGAGCATTAATGCAGTCCCTACATTTTGCACTTCTCAGTTCAAAGCCTTATGACCAACTAATTCATTAACAGGATGTCATTTGTACATTTCTGCTTGTTTTAAGGGAGAATGATATAAAGCTACCACTGCTGCATTTCCCAATCAATTAGTGGCTCAGCCGTTTACTTAGTTGATTATTGGTTCTTATAAATATACTGCAATCTCAGAGTCTGTGTTTTACCTGAGGGCAATACTGTACTGGTCCATTGCTTCCTGATATTCATTGACAGCTACAAGAAAGTCTCCCAGTATTCGGTGCAGAACACAGTCACTCTGATTAGCCAGTGCATTCCTCAGCAAAGCAATGCCATCTTCATACTTTTGTTCTCTACCTGTTTATATGCAAAACTACAGTTTTAATTAATAGTGTAGATACATCTATAAAAAGTCAGAGTGTACACAAAGAGCCATCAGAACACAAGACTATTTGTTCCTTCAGAACTGTCAGCATGGGGGATAGTAGTGATAGACTTTTTGCAAGATTAACTCTAAACAATGGCTTTTTATTGCAGTAACCGTTACACTCACTATTAAATATACTTTGAAGTCAAAACATTTTGTTTGCAATTGGTTTAAGTGATGATGTAATATCAGTTGCTAGATGCAATTAATTCCTGTGATTTTTCCTTCAGGACAGAACTGATAAATCCCTGGGCTGTAACACCACTGTTCCATTATTCAGATTGATGAGGCTGCAGAACACTCTTCCATGTAAAACAGTATACTTTAAATAAGTCAACACAGGGAAAAAAAGGAACTTACTAAGAAGTTCTGCTTTCTTTACCACAGCTTTAATGTAATCAGGTCTTTGCGTTAGCGCTTTGTCCAGTAACGTTTTTGCTTTTTCCTGCGTGACTGGGTCTTCAAGACAGACTGTTGCTAACAGAGTGAGTGTCTGTGCATTTGCTCCCAGAGTTTTGTACACATTATTTGCCATTACCATAGCTTCACGGATACTGCTGGATGCTAGGTAACATTCGATGAGACCTGATGATATAAAAAGGAAAACATTTCAGTTTTTGAGTTAGAGCTACAGACACTTGCACCTCCTCAATTATTTGCACTTAGTAGCACTCAGACTCCAAACAACTGACACTCCAACAAGCAAATACAAATTGCAATTGAGAAAGTGACTCTATACCCAACATTTTTCAAAAGATATCAAAGAAACTTGCAGATAAGGAAACATGGACACAAAAATTAAAATGGCACACAGTTCTACATGGAACTTACGACAAAAGTAGGAGATGGATGACCATCTCCCAGGACCAACATCTGACAAAAGACTAAATTGTGACAGATTACATGTTTCTTCCTTAGTTGCAGGAGAAGCAAAAATATTTAAGCAAATGTAAACCTGCATTACAGTACATCTAAATGCATGCCTTTCACTTTAGCAGGGAATCTACAGCACTGTGCCCACCACAAAGCACAAGACATGGAAATAAAGGAGCCAGAAGAATCAGATTAGCGCTCTCCACTTTGAATAAATGAAAAAGTAAAAAACAAAACAAAGTATCACTGCTGAACATTACAGCATAATCAGTTTGGTTTTACTTAAACAATAATTGCCTAGAAGACAGACAAGTACCACCAAATAGATCTGAGAACCACAAAATCCTAAGAAAACAAACCCGAGAAAGCATCACCATATTACAAATTGGTACAAGGTTTAATACCTCACATACAAGCCTTTTGTCTATTTTCAAAAGCCTACATTTTAACACATGCATTCTACAGATAATTGACTTCATCACTTTTACTTAAGGGCAGGTACTTAAAAAAAAGCCTAAGACTACAGCTAATCTAAGATTTTTGTCCAGTTCCACTACTGAGATATTAATACTTCACCTGGACTCTTCACAACTCACTATTTACTTGAAGCTGCTTTTGAGATCAACAAGATTTAAACAGATATGGCAAAAGCCTGGCAAAACAAAGCTCCCAGTGGAACTAACCATACAGGTAACAACATCATCCAAAAGTGATCTGCTCAAAACACCCAAGTCTGTTTATATCCAGATTAAACAAAAACAAACAAACAAACAAAAAAGCCCTGTTTGAAAATCACTCTTACAAATACATGCATTCTCTAGTATCCTTCATCTCACCGCTTCTACCAGAGCTTTATAGGTTTTTGGGTAACAATTTATTTACTAGAAAGTCAGCAGATGAAAAGAACTCCTGTCTATTCCCTTGCCTAATGATCATCACCACGACACCAGCTTTCACACCAAACCAATAACGTACATGTGAGTAGCTCCACTTCACTCACCTTCGTAGCAATCCAGCCTGCAAGGTGCAAGACGTATTGCTTCACGGAAGTGTATAATTGCTTCCTGTACTCGGCCCATATTCCTAAGAGCAGCTCCTTTCAGCAG